TCCTGGGATCGAGCCCCACATCGGGCTCCCTGCTCAGCGGGAAGCCTGCTTCTCCCTCTCCCACTCCCCCTTCTTGTGTTCCCTCTCTCATTGTCTCTCTCTCTGTGTCAAATAAATAAATAAAATCTTTAAAAAATTAAATTAAATTAGAAACTTCCATTCTACAAAAGGTACCATTAGGAGAATGAAAACAGAATCCACAGACTGAGAGAAAATCTTTGTAATTATCTGGCAAAGGGCTTATGTCCACAATATACAAAGAACACTTAAAACTCAACAATAATAAAGCAAATAACCCAATTAAAAATGGGTAAAATATCTGAGCAAATACCTCACCAAAGATGGCAAAAAAAAAAAAATGAAAAAATTCTCAACATCAGATATTACAAATTAAAACAATGAGATACCACTAAACAACTTTTAGAACAGCTAAAATCCAAAATTCTGACAACACCAAATGTTAACAAAGGTATAGAGCAACAGGGATTCTCATTCTCATTGTTGGTAAGAAAACGAAATGATGCAGCCCCTTTGCAAAACAGTTTGGCAGTTTCTTACAAAACTAAACATACATTTACTATATGACCCAGCAATTGCATTCCTTGGTATTTACCCAAATCAGTTGAAAAACATGTCTACACGAAAAACTTAAGTTTGCAGCAGCTTTTCTGTAATTGCAAAAAATTAGAAGCAACCAAGATGTCTTTCAATAAATAAATTGATTAAACAAACTATGATGCATCCACACAATGGATTATTATTTAGTAATAAAAAGAAATTAGCTATAAAACCCAAAAATCATTAAGCAGGAAACTTAAATGCATATTGTTAAGTAAAAGAAAGACTGTATGAATCCAAATACATAACATTCTTGGAAGGGCAATACTACAGAGATATCAAAAAGATCAATAATTGCCAAGGACTCAGATGGATGGAGGGACAAATGAATAGGCAGAACATGGGATTCAAAACAGTGAAACTCTTCTGCATGATACTATAATGGTGGATACATGACATTTTACATTTCTCAAAACCTATAGAACCCTGTTGCACAAAGATTGAACCCTATGTAAACTATGGAGTTTAGATAATAATATATCAATATTGGTTCATCAATTTTAACATAGGTAGCACATTAATGCAAAATGTTAAAACTTTGTGCAGGGAGTAGGAGGCAGAGAATGGATATATGGGAACTCTGTACTTCCTGCTCAATTTTTCTATAAACCTAAAACTGCTGTAAAAAAAATTAATTCCATGGGTGGCTCAGTCAGTTAAGCATCTGCTTTTGGCTCAGGTCATGATCCCAGGGTCCTGGGATCGAGCCCCACATCGGGCTCCCTGCTCAGTGGGGAGCCTGCTTCTCCCCCTGCCTGCCGCTCCCCCTGCATGTGCACTCTCGTTCTCTCTCTCCCTGACAAGTAATTTTTTAAAAGAAAAGCTAATTCCACTAATTATGAAATGAAGCAACATCAAAATTAAATGGTGGTATAAAAACAGAGAGGAATACAAAGGTAGCTTTTGTCTTGTTGATTAGGCTATGCTATCAGAATTTAGAGAATGGGAAGAGAAGAGAATAAAGTTTGTCTGGATAAGATTAAAAAAAAAAGGGTACTTTTAACAGAAAAAGAGTGTATACAAGTAAAACTGAACAATATTGAGACAGTAGATCTATACCAAAAGAGTCCAGGGACTGAGGCAGCTGCCATGGAAAAAGATAGTTCATGGATACAGAGAATAGATTGGTGGCTCCCACATGTAGGGGGCGGAGGTGGGGTGGGCAAAATGGGTGACGGAGGTCAAAAGATACAAACTCCCAGTTATAAAATAAGTAAGTCATGGAATGGAATGTACATACAGGATGGCATCTATAGTTAGTAATGCTATATTGCGTATTTGAAAGTTGCTAAGAGGGTAGACCTTAAAAGTTCTCATCACAAGAAAAAAATTCTTGTACGGTGTGGTGATAGATGTTAACTAGACTTACTGTGATGATCATTTTGCAATATATACAAATATCATACACTTGAAATTAATGTCATGTTGTATGTCAATTAAACCTCAAATAAATGAATGAAGAAAGAGACAGAAAGTAACAGACAGACAAAAAGAAAGAGAATATTTTGAAATCATCACTAACATTTCTACTATCATATTTTATTCTTTTGGCTTGGTTGGAGGATATGTTCCATCAGCCCATATGTGGGCATAAAGACTTCTGGTTTTGTCCATGATAGAGCATCAGGGACTAGAATTATCCTTTCACTTTAAACCAATTAAAATCTGGATGAAAATATGTGAAAAAGCAATATTCAGACATTGGAAAACAAAAGGTGCAAGACACTAATCTCTGACAGAAGGAAAACAAAGAAACAGAGCCCTTTGATGACCCCATCTTACTTCCTGAAGTTTCCAGGCCACAGCAAAAGGAAGAGGGACCCAAACAGAGTCTATTGTTCTCCTGGAGTTCAGAGACAAGGTTTAGAGGTTTGGAAGCCCAAAGAAGCTAGAAATCAAAGGGCACAGCATTAGAGAGAAGGCAGGTGCACAGATAGAGAGAGAGAGCTCCGTAGATGTGCAGAGGGTTTCCTCTGAGGTAGAAAGAAGTTTTCACTCTCCACTCCAAAGCTCTAGATAACTTTCTCTCCATCTAGTCATTCAGGACTCTCTTGGGTCAAAGGTATCTACAGAACTTGGGAGTGCTGTAGCATCAAGCTGCCCTTGGCTTAAATATGGCAACATTAGGGTTTAAAGCTGAAGTTGAAAGAGGACAGGATTCCTATCAACCTTTTCCAACCAAATCTTATTTTCCACTTCTAAACTGTATTCTATAACATACATTACATGATTGCTTCAAAATTCTTTCCAGTACTAAGACATAAGCAAGGTAGTTTCTCCCTTCTGTTGATAAGTAGTCAGAAGTTTAACATACTAGTTCTAGCAGCTCTTTATATTAATGAACTGACAGGCACTCAGCTGTTGTCAAGGCATTAGTGCATATGAGATGATCTATAAGTCATAGAAAAAAAAATCTACAAATGACCTCTTAAATTTATCACTGTTCATCTCAAAGTCCTAGCACTCCTGAAACATTTCAGTAGCATATTCCAATCAAAACTAAAAATCCTTCAATCCAAGTGATAGCAAGGTATTCCTCAAAAATTAATCTATTTTTTGTAGCATGTAGCCTTAACTAGGAATTTCAATCCTTGCTTGATAGCCTGCTCAACTGTATGACTCCAAACCCCAAGGAATCTATGTTATTGCCATAATAACTTTAAATTATAGAAAATTATAAAAATTAATGCATTTGGCATGTTATTAACACAATAATGCTTAAACAAGTAGAAACTTACGTGGATCAGTTGCAGAAACATCTATAAATTCTTCAGTTGAGTGGGTTTTTATGAATTCTGAAATAATAGTAAGTTTGTCATATGTTTCAAATATCAATTATATGTATTGAATTTAAATTTCATAGTTTTTTTTTAAATAACATTAAAGAGAAAGAAAACTCTAAGAAAAACAACAGAGCCGTCAACACTGGAGATCCCCCCAGTCAGGCAACACATGGTAATATCTGAATGAATGTGTATCAACTAAGTGATATGAACTCATCATTTTCTCAACAACACTTATTTTTCCTCTTCTAGTCTCTTAACATTACCATGATTTAATCTCCCTTCCTTTCATATCCAGTCACCAAGTTTTGCCCATTTTACCAGTAAATTTTCTCAAATCTGTCCCTTTTCTTCTTATTTGTGCTCTAATGTAAGCACTTACCACACACCTAAAACAGAGCAATAACTTCCCTTTCCTATTCCTAATCTCCAAATGTAGCTTCTACAAATGGCCAGAATAATCTGTCTGCAATTGAATCCAATGCCACTTCCCTACAAAAAGTCTTCAGTGATTCCCTATTATATATGAAAATAAAATTCCTTAGCACACCATCCAATCCCTCTGATTGGCCCTTTCTTACCATATCCCTACTTACTGCTGCACATTCTAATACCATTCTACTTGTAATTTCCTACTCATGCTGTTTGTCCATGCTACATCCTCTTTGTAAAATAGCAGATATCTCCCTTCTTCACTTGACTAAATTTTATTCATTCTTTAAGGTTGCATAAAATCTTCCCAACTTCCTTGGGTTGAACAAATCGGCTATCTGTGGACTCACTGCAAATTACACATAAATTTTATCATGTGTTACACTATATATTAAAGTGATGCATAATGTGCTTGTGTCCTTACTAAGTTATGTATTTTATGGTGGTTAACAACCATGGTTTATTTGTTTTGTTCAACTCCCAGACTCTGAAACATAAGAACTTTTACTGAAAATATTAAACTCACTACTGAATATCTTTTTAAATTTGCTATTGTATAATTTTATGGCTATAAATTTTTAAACTCTAAGTCTCAAAATGTTAATGTAATGTAGAAAACCCTATAAATGCTAAACATGTATAAAATATCATCACCTTCGATTATCTGCTGTACAGCTTCGTAACTATGTACTGCTCCTGGTAAATTTTCACTATCCCTGTTAAAATTTTAATAAGTACAACATTTATTTATTATCAAAGAATAAGAGTTAAGAAATAGAATATATGCTCTAGATATATGTAGTTTATAAAATAAAATTTAACAATCTTTAACTTTTATTCAGACACTAAGGTAAATTAGTATAATTGCAAGCAAATAAGTATAAAAGTCACACTATGTAATTCTATGAATGCTATATATTCCATGAATATAATTAGGTATGCCAACTATATTAACAACAAAAATAGCAAAAGTAAATTGGGTAGAAGCATGAGATTTAATAGTGTAATTGTTAAGAACACAAGTTCTAGAGTCAAACTGCTTGGCTCAAAACTTGTTTCACGCAGTTACTAACTTATGATTTGGGGTAAGTTACTTAACCCCTCTGACTTACAGTTTCTTCATCTATTAAAATTTGGGTATTAGAGTACATATCTCATAAAGTAGTGGTAAAGATCCAATACATGTAAAGTTGCAAGGAAAATACCTGTACACATCAGACACTTAAATTTCAGGTATTACTATTAATATATGGTCTGAAACTAATTTTGTGCCTCACAATAGATAACTCAAGTGACTCTCTCTGAGCCTCTGAACTAAGGTTCCAGTTATGTAGTGCTTACTGGAGCCAACTCAAGCGCCCCTCCTTTTATTCCTTTAAATCTAGTCATTGAGAGATATAAATAAAGTAATTGCATAATAAACAGTAGTCCCTCCCAATTACTCTAACACTGTAAAATAAATGGGTTTAGTATATGTCTAAGGCAAAAAATGGCTCTATGTAAATTTTTACTTAGATAAGGTACTATACCAGATATAGTTGGCAATAACAGAATAATAGGGGAACAAATGAGTTGATTTAATTCAGATACTCAAAAAGTTATACATATTTATTTACTGTTTATATGTGATAGGAAATATGTAGATGTGTGTGACTAGTTCTGAACTTGAGGAAATAGTCTTTCCAGGAAGACTTACACATAAATCATTAATTCATAATACAAAATTACTAGGTACAGGCATACATTATTTTATTGTGTTTCACTTTATTGCACTTCAAAGACTGCATTTATTACAAATCGGTTTGTGGCAACTCTGCTTACAGAAAGTCTATCGATGCCATTTTTCTAACAGCATCTGTTCACCTTGTGTCTCTGTGTCATATTTTGGTACTTCTCACTATATTTTAAGGTTTTCATTATTATTATATTTGTTATGGTTATCTGTGATCACTGATATTTGATGTTCCCATTGGGATTGTTTGGGAGTACCATAAACCATGCTCATATATGGCAGCAAATTTAACAATAGCTGTTGTGTGTGTTCTGACTGCTCCAACTAGCCTGTCCCCCACCTCCTTCCCTCTCCTTGGGCCTTCCTACTCCCTGAGACACAACAGCACTGACATTAGGCCAGTTAATAACTTTATAATGGCCTCTCAATGTTCAAGCTAAAGGAAAAGTCTCATGTCTCTTACTTTAAATTAAAAACTAGAAATGATTAAGGTTAGTGAGGAAAGTACATCAACAACCGAGATAGGCTGAAAGCTAGACCTCTTGTACCAGTTATCCAAGTTCTTAATGCAAAGGAAAAGTTCTTGAAGGAAATTAAAAGTGGTACTCCAGTGAATACACAAATGATAAGAAAGCAAAATAGTTTTATTGCTGATCCAGAGAAACGTTTACTGGTCTGGATAGATCAAAACAGCCATATTATTCACTTAAGCCAAAGCATAATTCAGAGCAAAGCCCTAACTCTTCAATTCTATGAATGCTGAGAAAGGTAAGGAAGCTTCAGAAGAAAAGTCTGGAACTAACAGAGGTTGGCTCATGAGATTTAAGGAAAAGAAGCCATCTGCATAACATAAAAGCACAGGGTGGAGCAGCATGTGCTCATGCAGAAACTGCGACAACATATCCAGATTTAGCTAGGATAATTAATTAAGGTGGCTACACTAAATGACAGATTTTCAGTGTAGGCAAAACAGTCTTTTATTGGAAGAAGATGGCGCCTAGTACTTTCATAGCTAAAGAGAATCAATGCCTGGCTTCAAAGCTTCAAACAGGCTGATTCTCTTGTTAGAGGCTAATGCAGATGGTGACTTCAAGCTAAGCCAATGCCCATTTACCATTTTGAAAATCCTAGGTCCCCTAAGAATGATGCTAGAGAGGTTGGAAGATGACGGCAGAGAAGGAGAACCCTAGGTTCACCTGGTCCCATGAATACAACTAGATAACAATCAAATCATCCTAAATACCCCAGAAATCAACCAGAAGACTGGTGGAACAAACTATAGCTAAATGTAGAGCAGAGGCCACATCGAAGAAGGTAGGAAGTAAGGAGATATGGTTTGGGAGAAAAACGGATTATGGCCCTGTGGTGGGTAGGGAGCTGCAGCCATAGAGAAGGGCAAGAGACAGACTAGAGCTCACATGGAAGATGAATCCCAATAGCAATTGCCTTGAAAAGCAAGAGGGGCTGAATTTCGTGAATTCTTGCAACCAGTGGGGCTTGAAGCCTGGAATTTTAAAGATCAATGGGTTTGGCTGGGAGAGACCCTGGAGGGCACTGGGGTTACTCTTGGAGAAAAGGCAGGGTAAACAGCCTGTGAACATACAGCATGGAAACAGTGATCTGAAGGGTGCCTGGAGCACAGAGCGGGGAGGTTATATGCTCATCTCCCACCATGTCCCGGACAGGCAGTGTTCACAGAGAGACCCCTCCAGGAACAAAAGAACTCGCAGGCACCATGTCCAAAACCTTTGGGATACTGCGGAAACAGTTCTAAGAGGCAAGTTTATAAAGGCCAACCTCAACAACAACAAAAAAATCTCAAATAAACAACCTAACCTTACATCTACAGGAGCTAGAAAAAGAACAACAAAACCCAAAATCAGCAGAAGGAAGGAAATAATAAAAATTAGAGCAGAACTAAATGATACCAAAACTTGAGTCTCTCTCTGAGGATCTAGACCCTGATGCTGAAGCTCGCTCCATCTCAGGACTGTGACTGGGATCTCCAAGATTTGGACCCCATATCTTCAAGTTTCCACCTTGATCCAGACATCATTAACCCTGTCCCTCTGGTTCTTTTTTTTTTTTTAAGATTTTAATTATTTGAAAGACAGAGAAAGCAGGAGCAGGGGGAGGGATTCAGAGAGAGGGAGAGGAGAGCTGACTCCCCTGCTATGCATGGAGCCCCAGCGGGGCTGATCCCAGGACCCTGAAATTATGATCTAAGCCAAGGTCAGATGCTTAACCAATTGAGCCAATCAGGCGCCCTGTTCCCCCGGTTCTTGACTCAGTGTGCACCTCGGCCCCACCAAAGCCCCACACCTCACCCCCTCTCATTCAGGATCACTGCTACACCCAAGGTCCTGGCACTAGCCCCATGGTGCTCCCTGCACCTGCCAGCCCTCTCCAACCCTTCTCCTGACCGGATTATGGTCGAGCCTTCTGCCGCTGCTCTGGACTGAGCCAGCATTGCCACACCCACAGCGGCAAGAAGCCAGACTGCTGCCTGACTTGCAGTAAGTCGTCCGGCCATGGCGCCGCGCTGGCACAGCACCGCGGCATCCACACCGGCCGGTGGCCCGACCCGAACACCATCTGCAGCAAAGCCTTCAGTTGGCACTCCACACGGCTGAAGCAGTGCAGCGGCCACAGCCCCAAGAAGCCGCAGCACTGCCCCGTGTGTGCCAAGGCGTTCGGCGCGGCTTGCTGCTAGCGCAGCACCTGCGCATGCACAGCAGCCTTCGGGCGTGCAAGTGCCCAGTGTGCACCAAGGGCTCAGGCAGGGCTCAGCGCTGTTGAAGCACCTGCGAGTGCACACCGGCAAGCGGCCATTCCCATGCCTGCAATGCGGCAAGGCCTTTGGTCAGAGCTCAGCACCTTGGCAACACCAGTCCTGGGGGGCGCGCGCGAGCGCGGGCGCGGGCGCGGGCGCGTGCGCGCACGCACGCACACACACACACACACACACACACACGGGGACACACACACACACACACACACACACACACGGCAGAGCGCCCCTACCGCTGTCCCCACTGCCACAAGGCCTTCGGCCAGAGCTCCAACCTGCTGCATCACTTGCGAATCCACACCACCAAACGGTCCTATGCCTGTCCCCACTCTCCAAGGCCTTTGGTGGGAGAGCTCCTCCCTGCTGCAGCACCTGCATATGCATTCCGGGGTGTGCCCCCTACCGCTGTCAGCTCCGTGGCAAGGCTTTCTGACAAGCCTCCAGCCTCACCACGCACAAGTGGGTGTATGAGGGTGCAGCTGCAGCTGCCACCACAGGCCAGGGCCTCAACCCTGCTTCAGTGTTGAGGCCAGAGCAGGTCTCCCTCCTGGGTCCTGATGCTCTCTCTTCCTGCCTCTGTCCTGGGCCTTAGCCCTGAACCCAGCTCTGGCCTTGGTCCTGACCCTAACTCTGTGCAGGGCTCCCTCCCTAATCCCACTCCAAAGCTGTTTCTGGCTCTGAATCTACCCTCACTCCTAATTCTGTCATGTCTTCTGACCCTAAGCCTCGTCACAAGGCCAATCCTGACTTGTGGCCAGCCTTGACCATGGATCTCGTCCCTACCCTATCAGGATCCTGTGCCCAACTCTGAGTCTCACCCTGAACCCTGCTCTCCCACCCATGACACTGTCAGTCCAGCCCTCCCTACTGGCTAGAGTCCTGAGTGAGTGTAGGAGCAAGGGACATTGCTGGGGCCCAATGGCTGAAGTGGACTCCCAACACTCAAGGGGCCTGGGGAAGTTGGGTGTCATGTAGTTCAGTAATATCCTCCCACTGCCTCTTGGGGAAAAAAAAAAAAAAAAAGGATAGAGAATCTAAAAAACCAAAACCAAACAAAAAACAGGTAAATAAAACCAAGAGGAGCTGGTTCTTTGAAAAAATAAAATTTGTGAGTCTCTAGCCAGACCCATCAAAAAACAAAGAGAAAGGACCCAAACAAAATTACAAATGAAAGAGGACAAATAACAACCAACACCACAGAAACACCAACAACCGTAAGAGAATATTATGAAAAACTATATGCCAACAAATTGGGCAACCTAGAAGAAATGGATAAATTCCTAGAAACATATAAACTACCAAAATTGAAGCAGGAAGAAATAGAAAATTTGAATAGAACAATTACCAGCAAGGAGATTGAATCAGTAATCAAAACTCCCAAAGAACAAAAGTCCAGGACCAGACAACTTCATAGGTGAATCCTACCAAACATTTAGAGTTAATACATACTCTTCTCAAACTATTCCAAAAAATAAAAAAAGGAAGTAAAACCTCCAAATCCATTCTATGATGCCAGTATTACCCTAACACCAAAACTAGATAAAGACACCACTAAAAAAGAGAACTACAGGCCAATATCTTTGATGAACACAGAAGCAAAAATCCTCAACAAAATACTAGCAAACCAAATGCAACAATACATTAAAAAAAAATCATTCACTACAATCAAGTGGGATTTATTCCTGGGTTGCATGGGTGGTTTAATATTTGCAAATCAGTCAACACGATACATGACATCAGTAAGAGAAAGGATAAAGAAACCATATGATCCTTTCAATAGATGAGGAAAAAGCATTTGACAAAGTACAACATCCATTCATGACAAAAGCCCTCAACAAAGTAGGTTTAGAGGGATCATACCTCAACATAATAAAGGTCATATATGAAAAACCCACAGCAAATATCATACTCAATGGGGAAAAACTGAGAGTTTTCCCTCTAAGGTCAGGAACAAGACAGGGATGTCTATTCTCACCATAGTACTAGAAGACCTAGCCACAGCAATCAGACAACAAAAAGAAATAAAAGGCATCAAAATTGGAAAAGAAGAAGTAAATGACATGTAGACAAGTAGATGACATGATACTCTAAATAGAAAACCCTAAAGATTCCACCAAGAAAACTGCTAGAACTAATAAATTAATTCAGTAAACTTACAGCATACAAAATCACGATGCAGAAATTTATTGCACTTCTATACCCTAATAATGAAGCAGCAGAAAAAGAACTTAATAAAACATTCCCATTTTCAACTGCACCAAAAATAACAAGATAACTAAGAATAAACCTAACCAAAGAGGTGAAAGACCTATACTCTGAAAACTGTGAAACACTAATGAAGAAACTGAAAACACAAAGAAATGGAAAGACATCCCATGCCCATAGATTGGAACAACAAATATTGCTAAAACGTCTATACTACCCAAAGCAATCTGCAGATTTAATGCAATTCCTTAAAAAATACTAATAGCATTTTTCACAGAGCCAGAACAAAAAATCCTAAAATTTATATGAAATGATCCTGAAATGATCCTGAATTTCCAAAGCAATTTTGAAAAAGAAAAGCAAAGGTGGGGGGTATCACAATTCACACTTCAAGTTATATTACAAAGCTACAGTAATCAAAAAGTAGATGTTGGCACAAAAATAGACATATAGATCAATAGGAAAGAATAGAAAACTCAGAAATGAACCCATGGTTATATGGTCAATTAATCTTCAACAAAGCAGGGAAGAATATCCAATGGGAAAAAGTCAGTCTCTTCAACAAATGGTGTTGGGAAAACTGCAGAGCAACATGCAAATGATTGAAAATGGACCACTTTCGTAAAGCATACACAAAATAAATTCAAAATGGATTAAAGACCTATACATGAGACCTGAAACCATAAAAGTCCTAGAAGAGAACATAGGCAGTAATGTCTCTGACATTGGCCATAGCAACTTCTTATTAGGTAGCTCTGCTGAGGCAAGGGAAACAAAAACAACTATTGGGACTACATCAAAAAGCTTCTGCACAGTGAAGGAAACAATCAACAAAACTAAAAGGCAAGAGATGGAATGGGAGAAGATATTTGCAAATGACATATCTGATAAAGGGCTAGTATCCAAAATATATATAAGGACTGATACAAATCAACACCAGAAAAAAAACCCAAATAATCCAATTTACAAAGGGGCAGAAGACAAGAACAGACATTTTTCCAAAGAAGGCATCTAGGTGGCCAACAGACACATAAAAGCATGCTCAACATCACTCAGCATCAGGGAAATACAAATCAAAACTACAGCGAGATATCACCTCACATCTATCAGACTGGCTAAAATTAACAACACAAGGAACAACAGCTGTTGGTGAGGATGTGGAAAAAAAGGAACACTCTTGCACTGTAGGTGGGAATGCAAACTGGTGCAGCCATGGTAGAAGACAGTATGGAGGTTCATCAAAAAGTTAAAAATAGAACTATTCTATGATCCAGTAATCCCACTACTGGATATTTACCCCAAAACAATATCAAAAAAATTCAAAAGCATACACACCAATGTTTATAGAGCATTATTTACAATAACCAAATTATGGAAGCAGCACAAGTATCCATCAACTGATGAATGGATAAAGAAGAAGTGGTACATATACACAATGGAATATTACTCAGCCACCAAAAAGAATGAGATCTTGCCATTTGCAATAACATGGACGGAGCTAGAGAATATAATGCTAATTGAAATAAGTCACTTAGCAGAAAGGCAAATACCATATGATTTCACTTACATGTGGATTAAAGAAACAAAACAAACAGGCAAAAGTGGAAAAAAAGAGAGAGACAAATTAAGAAACAGATTCTTAATTACAGAGAACAAACTGATGGTTACCAGAGGGGAGGAGGATGGGAGGTTGGGTGAAAGAGGTGATGGGATTAAGGCGTGCACCTGTTGTGATGAACACCAGGTGATGTATCAACAATTCTGTTGAATCACTATATAATCACTAAATAAAAAATAAAATAACAAAAGTTGAGTAAATCAGAGATCTAATGTACAACATGGTGTTTTCAGTTAACAATACTGTTGTATACTTGAAATTTGCTAAGAGAGTGGATCTGGAGTGATCTCACAACAAAAAAAAAAAAAAAAGTAACTGTGAGGTGGAATAAAAGTCATGAAAGGTATTCTGTGATGATAATTTATTCATCTATTTAATTTTAAGGCAGCTAAACCTCAAATATCAAAAGTGAGTGTCAACAGTTAATAGGAGTATCATTGTAGTCATAATGTGAATCTTCCATCTGTCAAAAAAAAAGGCTTTTCTCAACTAAAAAATAGGAAATTATTCTTTGGAACATATCCCTGTCCCTTTGAAATTTTTAAAAATGCTGTTCATAAACAATTATTTAATCATATCCTAGTTTCCTATTTATTATAGAAGCTACATAATCAAACTGAGAGAAGATTTTAAACCCAGATATTCAAAGCCAGCCATGTCCAATAGAACTTTCTAACAACCACCACATTGGTTACTAGGCAGTTGAAATGTGGCTCATGTGACAGCAGAATTGATTTTTTAATTAAATTGAACTCAATTTTAATTTTAGTAGCCACACGTGACTAGTGACTACTGATTGGACAGTGCCATTTCAAACTATTAAAAATTTCAAATAGGAGCAAGCTGACTAGACTATTTGATTTGATTTAGAAACTCTATGTACAGTATAATATCTGAACCATTATCTTACATGCATTACTAAGTATATACCAATTCATTGTTTTGAGTTCTATTAACTCTTATATTTTACTTACTTGGCTTTAGACAATGCGGTCCTCAAGGAGTATTTAGACTGTTGTTTAAGGCGATTTTTCAGTACTTCTAGTGCTTGCACCTGCTCTACTACTTGCGCAACGTTTAAGGTGACTCTCTTGTCAGGTGCTGGAAACTCTGCCTCTAAAAAGGTTTGATCTTTACTTATCTAAAATGATAACATTAGCCAGTTACTTAGGAAATACCCATTTTGCTCCTATACCTCAAAGAAATTTCATCATTTACCATATTTAAATAATTTTTATAATACTCTTATCTATAGCTATAATCAAATACTGATATTTTATAAATATAATTTTACGAGTAATTACCTAGCAACAGAATTACAGCTAAGTGTTGACTTTTACATGTCAAAACTCAATCCAATCTTCTGTTTAATATCTAAATATATAAGAATTTTAAGCAAGTTCAATAATAATTGAAACAGGATCAGTCTTACCTATGATAAATATGGAAAGACAGTAATTTGCTCTCAAAAGCAATACCTTCTACTAGTAACTCCCAGAAGTTAATATATAAAAGTCTATGAAACTGGCACTCCTTGGTCTGTCTGGGAAAAACTGAGACCCATTTGGGCGTCTCAAGACTTTTAGAATAGACCAAGCTACAGAATAATGAGCAATCAGGAGAATCAGTAAGATACACAGAATAATATGATAGACCATAACTGATATTCTAGGTATTAAGTCTGTTTAAAGAAAGCTGAGCAAGATGAGTGCCTCCCCACTAACAAAAAAAAAAAAAAAGAAAGGCACAATGAAAGAAAAAAAAAAATAACCAATTTGTGGAGACATAAACAAGGAGAGTAGCAATTGAG